TTCAATGTTTTTCAGATACCTTGTTTTCATATCCGGCCACGTTTCTGCAGCCTTTCCTTTCAGTCCAATCGGATGATTTGCTTGAACTTGGAGCTATAAGTGGAGCTTCGCACTCCTTTCACTGCTGCTAGCAACTCTTGTTGACAGAAGTCGCTCTGAGCCTTTTAGCGAGGATTCCTTTTCTCGAGCTTCTACACTTCCAGCTCCAAGTCCAAGATGCCATGCGTGAGCTTCGAATCTACTTCCATATCTCATTTAGATCTCGTTTCAGATCTTGTTTCGAACCGATGGTTAGTGGCTAACCTTAGTGTGTGGTGGTGGGTTTGTTGGCCCAAAACGTGGTTCCTCCAGTGCTTTCTTGGTAGTTTCATGTAGTTTCGGTGGCCCGAAACGTGGCTCTTCCTGTGATTTTTGAGTGGTTTGGGTGGCCCGAAAGGTGGCTCCTCCAGTGGTTTCTGGGTCATCACCAGGTTGCTTCCATGAAGGCAGAATGAACCTTCCTCAGACATCCAGGCAAAACATCTTTTTATTGCATGTGGAATTGGATGGAATTGGGTATCTCGTTTTTTGGAAGCCCCTGATCCAGCCATAAGTGCGCCGAGGCACAAGTCCGCTTGCGGGGTCACGTGCGCCGTTCTGGCGTCGTATGCTGCTCTCAAGACTCTGCAGCTAAGGATTTCTCTCGCTGTTGCAATATCTCCTCAGTGAAGCACTCCACACAATGGGTCAATCACATATTTTTAGGTCCCCCAAAAAAACAAATACAATATATTAAAATATAATACAGATACATACAGATACCTTCTCACAAGCCAGCTGAACCCCTTTAGATCCCTGGAAAATAGAAACAGTCTCAGCTGATTATGTAGATATGTGTAGATGACTGCAGAGATATGCCGAATAATGCAAGCATACGATAGCATAATCATGGACAGTCAAATGATATTAACCGCGTTCAAATGCCAATCAAGCTTCGAAAATCCGCAGCCGAACCACCTTTGTCTGGGTGGTGTCTCAATGCAAGCAGCCGGAAAGCTCGCACCTAAGTCTCATGCAGGGGACTAGCTGAGGAACAATATGGAATATACAATATAACTGAAACTACGTCATATGTGACGTCATATTTCCCAGAAATTGTCTACAATGGAGGAAGGTCTAGGATGGTTTAGGCTTGCCAGGATTTTCAAAAGAGCTTTTGGACCCATAGCCATATCATGCCAGATCTGCCAAGTGGCAATGTCTTGTGTTGTGGCATTCCGCCCAAGGTGCAGGATGTCGTACAAGCACCGGTCACAGTCAGATCCCGCCGCCATGGCGCGATGATGCGCGATGCTTTGTTGTGATTATCTTTCGTGAAAGGTTTGGAGTAGGATCGAAGTGAGTTTTCAGTGACTCGTCTTCTCGTCGTCCCAGGTCTCGTATGTGAAGGACCTGGTATACTTGTGGCTTTCTTTGGAGCCACAAACCCTGAAGAGGGAGATTCCAAACAACCCAGGATTGGCGATCTCGCTCTTTCCCGCTGATCGAAATCACTCGTGACGTCATCACCTGAGACTTTCAGTCGCCGAAGGAGAAACCGTTTCGAGCACCCAAAAAACACGAACCGGATTGGTGACATGATTCGATCCCCTTTCCCCTTTCACCCGGAACTTCCGTTAATGGTCAATGTTCTCGCCCTCCTGCTCCATAAAGCCGGCCAGTCTCAAAAAATTTACATAACGGAAGATCCAGGTATCCAGGTTCTTCAGTTCGTGACCGAACTTGATCCCGACTGGTTGGTTCGGTCACTGGATGGCCTGTAGGTTCCGTCACTTGGGGACTTCAAAAAGGTCACGGACTGAAGAACCAGGTACGTGAATTGTTCCCAAAAAAACACATGGAGCGCAGCTCTTCGCGCAGCACGTCACCGGCTCACCATAAAAACTTCCCCGCTGGAACTCCCTCGGACCCGGAAGCGGAAAAGCGGACGTCGTCGGCGTTCACGAACAAAATGGCACGGTTCAGGGCACAGAGGTTGGAGGCCGTGTTCAGCTCCACCTGGGGCGAACGCGAACGACGAAGCCTGACCGGTGGGTTTGGGAGAGCCCCAGTTCCGAACGCTGCACCCATCCGGGAATGCAAAATGGCCTTCCCAACCCTCTCATAGAGTCGGTGCTTGGTTTCTTGGTCAGATTGTACCAGGGGCCCCCAAAACCATTCGAGGTGTTCAAAATAAAAAACAAGCTTTGAGCTGGGGAAAACCAGGCTTTCATGGTTTGGTGGGCCCAGGGCAAGTGCTTGGATCTTCTGCATGCCAGGGGATGCACCCTTTTTGTTCCTTGATTCACTGATCGCTTTAGTCCACGGATGAGACCCAGCAATAAACACTCTGAGACCACCTGGGAATCTATACACAAATGGTGGGATAGCAGTCCTACCATGAAACACTGAAAGTAGCGAGAACCCAGAACATAGACACATAAAAATACAAACACTATACAACGTCGAACAAACACAACTATAATTAATTTTATTGATTATATTGTCTATGCTTTGCCTGTGTTGCCTGAGATTCTACTGTTTGGTGCCAACAGTATTATGACCTGTTTTGAAAAAAAAAATGTTGTGGTGTCGTAGTTATGTTGAACCATTTCTGGCCGGAAGTTGGCTGCATTGTTTTTCCTATTGATGATGTTCGAATTTTTAAAGCAACCGACTACCTGCACAATCTGCACATAGCATATATAGATTAGATTTGTTAATTTTTGTTTTCAATATGATGTTGAAAGTGTTTGTCGTCAACATTTCATTACTAATTGTCCTGACTGGCCAACAGCAAATCAGTAACTCACTGATCGCTGATGTCAAGGACTTCAGGATTTCTATCAACATCAGCGCCTCGCCCCAAACCATATCATTCATGCATGTTAAAGGAAAGGTTAATCTAAAATGCTTGCGTCTTATGATTCCTTTACATGCATTCCTAAATTTTAATATTTGGCTGTGGGTCAAAACCTTGGTACCTCAGTGAGGTGCCATGACCCAAGAAGCTTTTTATACCCCCTGTCCAAGGCCAGTGACCTGAAACCATCTGTATCGACCAAAAAAGGTCGCTTCAACAGCCGGATATTTGAACAGCAAGCCACCTTCGCTTCACTGCTGTTTCGCGAGGCAGCAACGAGCTGGCACCAGCCCAGAGTTTTCGAAGGGCATGCATAGCGCGACCAAAAGGGCCATGCGTTGAGATGTAAAGAAGTTTGTTGATGTTCTGGTATCTCAAGGGAAGAGATTGCATACAGCACAAGTCAATGGATTCGAAGTGTCTGTTTCCCTTGTGCACATTCTCTCCCATCTGCTTGTGGGGCTGAGTCGCTGAGTCTTGCCTGCTCTGTTGCCAGTCTGAGCCATCCCTAAAAATCTGGCAGGTAGTGACTGAGGGGGGGGGGGGAAAAAGAAACCATAAATGGAATTCCATTAGGTGTCCCCCACCTTCAGATTCCATTTTTAAGGTGGTGGTGATTACTAGAAAGTCGCCAGTTCTCAGCTTCCAGCTCCACAGATTGCTCCGCGTACTAAAGTTGTACTACCAAGTCGCCAGCATTCTCCAGCTCCCCAGCTACTCCGCGTACTACAGTTGTACTACAAAGTCGCCAGTTCTCAGCTTCCAGCTCCACAGATTGCTCCACGTACTAAAGTTGTACCACCAAGTCGCCAGTTCTCATCCTCCAGCTCCCCAGATACTCCGCGTACTCAAGTTGCACTACAAAGTCGCCAGTTCTCATCTTCCAGCTCCCCAGCTAGTCCGCGTACTAAAGTTCCACTACAAAGTCACCAGTTCTCATCTTCCAGCTCGCCAGATACTCCGCGTACTAAAGTTATACTACAAAGTACACCTCTCGCCGGCATTTCGCGCGCTCGACACGCCCGATCTCCGCAGAGGGTTGCGCGCGCACAGACCCAATCGCACTCTCGCCTGCATTTCGCGCACTCGACACGCACGATCTCCGCAGAGGGTTGCGCGCGCACAGACTCAATCGCACTCTCGCCTGCATTTCGCGCACTCGACACGCACGATCTCCGCAGAGGGTTGCATTTTCGGTTGACGCTGTTCGTCCCACCCTCCGCCTTTAAGAGAGAATTTATAAAGTGGGGAAATGTTTTTCATTAGGACATCTCCCGCGCTAGTTTTCCATGCTCACACTTGCATACTCATTGCATGCTTGCATGCTCATTGCATGCTTGCGTACTCATCATTGCACTTGCATCATTACACTTGCATACTTTGACACTTGCATACTTTGCACGTGGATGCTTTCGCTCTTCCACTTACACTGGGGTACGTATAGCGTTCATGTTGTAGTGCAAGTGTGGAAATGTCAGTGTGTAAGTGTAAGTGTCGAAGTGTCAGTGTTCAAGGGATTTTTCCGGAAGAACCCTTCGCAATGCTTTCGGGAAAAAGGAAAACAGGGCCAATAAAAAAAATAACTATTCACTCCTGGAGGCTTTGTAAGGGGGCCAGTTTCGATTGATACCGCGTAGAAGTATTGAAACCCTGTCCTTGTTGCAACCTTTTCCACATGAAGGATTAAAAGCATGGGGCATGGGACAAAACTTCAAACGGCACCCAAACTCCGACAACCATAGCACAGTTGCTGAGCGGCAAGTGGCATGTTTGGGCGCTTTGTGCGATGGGACTTGCCGTGAGCCGCACCACTTCCAGGTGGAAAAAGGGTTACCAGTGCATATGCTTTCTATATGCGTGCATTGCATGTGCATTGCATATTGTCGCACTTTGCGCGCGTTTTCTGTCCATTCTGGAACAAAATTGTCGGCGCATGGCCAAGCCAGAGGAGTCCTTCCTAAGAAAACCTCAGGCATGCTGAAAAGGCCAGTCGTCATACATGAGAAACAACACCAAGTACTGCGCAAAATAGAATCGTTCTAGCAATCGTCTTCTAAAGAAACAAACTGGCCAAAAAAAGAACCGGCAATTAATTGCCAATGCGCAAAATACCGCTCTCCTCTTGCACCGCCCGGAGCCAAGCCGCTCGGACCGCTGCGAATTCAACAGGGGCGCCACCTCCAGGCATTGCACGGGCACGTTCGCTGCGACGTGGGCAGGCGCCCATGTCGGAAATGGACAAATGTGGAAAAACCAAACTGGGAAAATGTGGAAAACATTTTTGGACAACTGGGAACAAGAACGCTACTAGGGGCTCCTGGCCTCACTACTAGGAACAAGAACGCTACTAGGAACAAGAACGCTACTAGGGGCTCCTGGCCTCACTACTAGGAAGGGCAAGAACGCTACTAGGGGCTCCCGGCCTTACTAGGAGCAAGAACGCTACTAGGGGCTCCTAACCTTACTACTAGGAACAAGAACGCTACTAGGGGCTCCTGGCTTTACTACTAGGAACAAGAACGCTACTAGGGGCTCCTGGCCTTACTAC